CACCACTTTTTTTTTTTTTTTTTTTTTTTTAAAAAGCACCAATATTTAAAAAGGAACAAAGGGAGTATTCCTTTTTTTTTTATTATTCTTCTATAATTTCTTTCAGCCGTATATAGCCTTCATCAGAATAATTTCAATTTGAGACGGGCATGGAAGATGGAGTTTTAGTTATCCTTCTGGCAGCAGCAAATATCCACGAAGGAAGCAGTTATTTGGGTAAGGAAGCAACTAACATGTGATGGTTGCCAATCACCATCCAGTTCCGGGCCAACCATTCTTTTAAATATATTCTTTTTTTTTAATTATTCTTTTTACTATAAAATAATTGTTATTTTTTATTTTAAATCTATCATAAATTATAATTGTTAATTTTTTTATTTTTTAAGTTAGATAAATAATTTTAACATACTTTGGTTTTATCATTACTTATTTGAAAGATAGTTTAAAAATAATTTTTTTTTATCATTTTTTAATAAAATTTTACATATTTTTTAGATAATTGATTATTTTTATTTATTCGAAACTCCTTTTTTTATCTCCCTACTTATTTACTTTAATTATTTATCTTATAAAAATTTAAAAAGTATCTAATTAAATTATAACTTTAGAGTCAATAACTTGATTAGAGAAAATGATCTTAAATTCTCTCTCTTCTTCCAAACTAAACGAGCTCTAAAAGTTTGGACAAAAGGCTAATGCGAACATCCGAATCCGCAAATGGAACAACTATATCCATGTAACCAAACAGTTTTTAGAGAACAGCGTGGCATTCCCGTAATTCTCTCGTACCTTCAGAGGATACCAACGTAAATTCACAAAAGTCCAAACCGAATAAATATCTGATGAGGAGGTATTGATAGCTGGCCTGGCCCTCACCTGTTGCGTCGTGGGCCAAAAGCCAACGGACATCACTGACATTTCACTTACTCCATACCTGACAACACATGACCCGCATGTGACTTGTTCTCCGTGCTACACCTCCACGTGTCAGAACCTAATTCAAACTTTCACATTTTTTTATGTTTTGCCTCGTGCTCCGAGAACACGTGGGCAGCGTGCGAACACGTGATCGGCGGCGGTGTAACCCACCGGATCTCCGTGCGAGTATCCTGGCGGTGAGAACACGTGCATATTGGTGGTGGCTGACGTGGCGCGGTGCTTGATCTGCGGCCTTCTTGGTCTTCGAGAAAGTTTTGAGAGTTTCGATTGTCGGCGCCGATTCCGGTGACTCGGCTCGGCATGTGGCTTGAATATTCGGCTGCGGGAGGAAGATAGATGGAATAAGAGTTGTGCACGTTAGTGAGGTTCGGGGGTGGGACCCAGGGACGATATTATGTTCTCTGGATGGTCATAATTCTTTTTTTTTTTTTTAGTTTATCTAACTTATTTAAGTATAAATTAACGATGTATTTAATATATTTTTTATTATAAATTTAGATTAAAAAATTAAAAATTAATTTTTAATTTATCAATTATTCAATAA